CCTTCCGCCTATTTCCTCCCTCGTAACTTTGAGCTTTAATATCTTAATGACGTGACACTGTTGTCGGCAAACCATTTAAGAATTGGAATGCGCTACTCCGACACTGTATTTAGTGACACTACGGTGAGGTGTCTAGGAGGATGACTAGATAAACATACATTATTATTAATATTAATAATTTTATTATTGTTTACTGTTTGTTTGTTGTGTGTAGTGTTATGTTTTTCGCGTTTCGTGAGTGCACTCATACCAACACCGCAAGGTTTTTCCTGGGCACTTCTATAAAACATTGATTGATTGATTGATTGTATTCACCTTACCTTCACCATATATATTTTTATATTACATATTATTATATTCACCGTCACCTTATAGTGTTATGAAGGTATCTGAATAAATGAAATGAAACGAAAATGTTTTATTATTATTATTATTATTATTATTATTATTATTATTATTATTATTATTATTATTATTATTATTATTATTATTATTATTATTATTATATGTAAGATGTATTTTGTATATTTTTCGTCGAGATAAATCCGGAAAACTCACCATAATCAGAAAAACACACAGAGGCAAAAATAAAATTATTCTTGACCGTTTTCTGCGTTCTGCCCGGTCTGCCGCAACGTCTTCCTGGCTGACATAGTATCTGAACATCTTAGGAATGTTGTAAACTTGTGTCTTCTTGTAGCTGTACCACGCAACGATTTGATTAGGCGACTTTCCGGCGCAAAGCGATTAAAATATTGCCTCCCTCCGGTCGTACTCTCTACTCATTTATCAGCTAGTCGCGATTTGTTTTGCATGCGATGGTCCGCTGTCGAATCACATTGCTCGTTAGCTTCACTGTTCCGTTGAGTGACGAAATTCGGTAAAAGTCTAGGTTTGTGTCGACTACCCTGTATAATGTTATTATATAGTACAATATGATAACTCCATGGGTGTCAGGAATGGAGCGCGAGATGAGTGACCATCAGGATGCAGCGGCGGCTTTGCTGTCGAACCTGAGATGCGTCGTCCGCTCCGATTCGGGTGCTTTCTTGCTCCGTTTTTGTTTACTTTTTTGTGGTCGTGTGCATTATCAATGCCCGTCACAGTCTGAAAACCCTCATCAGGAATCATAAGATCCATCTCCAACAGCAGGTACTTAAAGGAGCTGTGCAACGATATTCAATTGGAATGTTTTTCTCTCTACACGAGCTTACTGGCACACCTGGGACTCAAGGATACTCACACGCAACGCCATTGGCCAAGAAACTCCTTTGTTGCGGTGTAATTTCAAGGACAAAAGCGATCATTTTCATTCAATCTCTCCCTTGCAAAATTTGATGACGTAACTCGGGGATCGCAGTACACCCAAGTGACGATATTTGAATGCGGTTCATAGATTGGACCCGAGCATAGCGTGGGTACTCGACTTGGGCTCGTGATAATTGCTAGCTCGAGAAGCGTTCGGGTAGTGACCCGTGTCCAATCGCTGCAACGACGACAACAGCCGAGCCATAACAATGTCTGGAACTCAGCGCGTGTCCTGCGCTTTTCCAACCCCAGCGCGTGGCTATGATCAAGACTGGCGGCATATAATCGGCTCCAGATCACGTGGCCGCTTGTTCTGGCTGCGAGTTGAGGTGGTGAACGCTGCTCGTTTTTCTTTAATTTTTTTCTGGGACTTCTATTGCGTGGGGTGAAAAACTAACGCGTGTTTCATAGGTCATTAACGTTAGGGATCCGTTTTAAGCGGTATTTCTGCAGAGTACAAAAATTGTTGCACAGCTCCTTTAACTGCCTGAATGCTGTTGACATTTGCAGTTGTCAGTACCGATTCCTCTACATATGCCGTGCAGTGAATATGTTTCTCGTTGGTGGAACGAGAAAACAACTTATGGATTCACAAAGCTTCGCGATTCGGCGCACACCCTGAACGCCACGACGTCCGGGACTTTTGGGATTACGCGCTCTGCCCGATACTTGCTTGGGAGGTCTTCTCTCATACTCTCCAGTTTTTCTTGGCTGTCGGAATGCGTCACTGGCGGTGTTGAAACACTATGCTCGTCTTCGTGAGTGAGGTGGTCCCGTTTTCGCTTGCCTGGCACGCCGCCGTTCGACGTGATGAACCTTCTCTTTGATGGCAGTTTCTTCAAGAGGTCCGCGGGGATATTCGGAAACAAAGTTGAGATCAAAACTACAGTCATGCAAGGGCAACTTCGGGAATTTTCACTGTTTCACCGCTGATCATGTGTGTGTGGTGGCGAACAATTATTCTTTCTTCGAAATGGGCATAACAGACTACGGAGTTACTTTCGAGTGACCCACCCGCTCGTGGAATTGAGCGCTGCGAAACCTGACGGCGCTCGTCGTCGTCGCGAACGGCGAAGAGGGAGGCTTTTTCTTCTTTGTTTATCGCAGAAACGTGCTCCGGGGCCCATACGGGAGCGAAGAAGCGTGTTTGTCGTTTTGAAGTCGCGGTAGTCCGGACGCATGGGGGGATCTTTCCCGAAAGACGAAAGAGCACTACAAACCAGAACTTCTAGCGACGCGAACAAACCTTTCCCGGCAGATGCCATCTGATGATGATGATTCTGTGACTGTTCCTTTTGTAACGGGCGAGCTGGAATATTCGTGACAACAAAGGCTGTGTTCCAAATGTTACCTAAATGGATCCGAGTTACTTCGGCTGGCCGTGTGAAGTGACAACACATATAAAAAAACGCTAGACGCGTGGAGTATTCCGAAAGCGAAGGTACAAAATATTTACCCAGGAGTAATACCTCTGTCAGACGGGCACCTAAAAGAACCTTTACATCAAAGGCCTTTAGGATTTTCAAATGACCTTTAAGTTCTGCCGTTCCAGACAGCGCAAGTAGATGTCATTTAGACTTTTTTTTTCAGCGATTGAAGTCTTGTAACTCGTTCAAACTCATAAATCAAGTTCACGCCAGAAAAATCCTATTTTGGCGATATAAATTTGTTTAAGTCTTTCTTAAGCAAACAAAATAATGAAAAGGACAAAACGACGATTTCAATCGAGTGATTACAACAAAGCCTACTTCAAGCCCAAGCAATTTTTTTTTCTTCTGTCAATTAGCGGCAACCCTGGGCGTCTCTAGCTCACACAGTCCTAACGTTGCTCAGTGCTCCCGCTCCTTTCAAGTGCTTCTGCTACGCTTTTGCCCTGTTCGCTACGTCATCGTGCTCGCGCTTAAGGTTCATCGCACGCGTCAGAGGTCCTCCAGTCGATCTCAGAGTCGTATCAGCGCCCAGTTGCCTCAACGCTCGAGTGGAAGCACGGCGACACATTCCTAGTAGTGGACGCTCCTCCGTCGTTCGACATATCGCACGACGCGGGAGTGAGATACAATATGTACAAAGAAACGTTAAATATTTACAGTACGGATGGTAATACACTGTTCAAGGATGATAAATATAAAGTAGAGGAATAAAAGCTAGATAACTATGCCTGTAAGGAAAAATCGAGAGGGGAAAAACCGAAGTGCCGAAGTGGACGACGCGAGCAGGCGAACAGTGGGGGACGAGGCCTACTATACATGGTGGAAAAAGGAGACGGCAGGCTCTTTAAATCGATCGCAAAATTCGGTTTCTTAACCTATCGCGCTACGACTTTGTGCAGCGTTGCCCACAGATGATGCTTTTTTTGTTTTTTTAATTTACAAGGAGCGAGCCTACCTGAGGAAACAGTAAATAAAGAAAAAGGCTTAGCTCCTATGGAAACGCAGCGACGCCATCGGTCTTCAAACAACACGGCACCGTTTCGCACGGGAGACAAGAGATGGCGCAGCTGGTCGCGACGCCAACTGCCGCGAACGAACGAGCATACGACGCCGAGAGCCGGCGTCTTTAGCAGACAAGAACTGCAGTTTCTTGTTGTTACCGCGCCTGTTTTTGTTTCTGCGACTGTCACCGCCTGCGGAACGCGCGCCGCTTTTGTGTCGAAAAGATCGTCTGCTAAGACGCCAGCTCTCGGCGCCGTATAGACGCTTTCAGCGTGGACTCCGCGATCTGCTGCCGGCGGCGCGCCGTTGCTCCGGCCGTCCCATTCGGCGCGGAAGCAAGGGGAGCGGTGTAATTTTGCTAACTCCGACACCCGTCGCGAGGCGGCGCCGTTAGCCTAAGGATGAAGCGAGGCTCATCTGGCCGACACTGCCTGCGATTTCACGTGTTCGTCAGTCTTCGTTGTCGAGTTTTCAATGCAGAAACACCTTGAGTATGTGGTCGATGTGTCTTCGCTCGTTCCTGCAAGCAGTACAAAGTTAAGGTACGTACGTTGTTTAAGTGGCATGTTTGTTTTGCATGCAGCCGGAGTGGTTAAGTGAAAGTCGAATGAGGCAGCCCAAACTCGATCCTTTTGCAGTTCGTGCAGATTGAATGCCTGTGTGCTGAATCTTTTTGCCACTTTTACGGCCTTTTCGCGAGCTATCACGGCGCTTAGGTTTACCTTTTTATGCCTTGCAGGCTGTTTCGAAATACTTAGCTACAGTAAACTAACTAGGCTATTTTGTGTGTGTGTGAGCGCGCGTGTTGTTTCAAGGCGTGTGTGCTTGAATGTGGGTTCGCGTGCGCACGCGTGCACGTACGGTGTGTGAATGCGTGGGGGTTCCCTGGTTCGCTCGCTCGCTCGCTCGTGTGTGTGTGTGTGTGTGTGTGTGTGTGTAGGTTCGCGCTGCGGGCGTATGTGGGTGGGTTCGCGGCCCGTGTTCATATGTGTGTGTGTAGTTTCGCACGTGCGCGCGTGTGAGTGTGCGTGCGTATGTGGGTTAGGTCGAGGCAAGTGTTCATGTTTGTGTGTGTGTGTGTGTGTGTGTAGGTTCGCACGTGCGCGCGCTTGCATGTGTGTGTGTGCGTGCGCGCGTGGGTGTGATACAGAGAGAGAGAGAGCAGCGTGATACCGATAAGCGCTCGAGTATTGTTTATAGGGACGCGATTCCAGTAGTCTAAGCTCTAGGCTAGTCTTCCAAGTGTACGAAGCGACAATTTTTTCTTGGGTCTTGGTTTACTATGATGTATACGTTCCAGGTGTGTTTAGTGGTCTTATGTAGCTACTGAAATATCGCCGCCTCATTATTTGCTGTAAGTGAAAATTATATGGTTTTCTGGCGTGCGTTTCACACCGCTGTCCGCTCTGCTTCTGTATTTTTTCAGAAGAATGTATTGCAGCGTGCCTTTCTGCAAGTCGGACAGGAAAAGAAAGCTTGGAATAAGTTTTCATGAATTTCCTGCGAGCGATGACCGTCGCCAAGCGTGACTGAAGGCGATATCAAGAAAAGATTTTGTCCCAAATGACAAATCATCGAGCAGTGTCGTCTGCAGCCTTGATTTTGCGGATTCGGACTACACTCTGGGGTCCACCAAGCTTCGCCGCCTCAAACGGCATGCTGTTCCGAGCATATGTTCAGGATACCCAACCTACATGCACCCACAAAAGCCACAAAAAAGCCGTAAATTGAAGCGAGTGGTACAGGACTTCCCTTCACACAAAGAAAAGGCATCAAGTTTATCAAGTTGCCATGCCAAAGTGACTGGTTCAGCCTGTGACAGTGCAACCAGCACAGGCCAGTCAAATTCTGATTGCTGGTTGCCATCAGTCCCTGAAGTAAACACAGAGGCAAGTTTTCAAGGTGCAGGCCACGACGGAGGCCATCTGCCGCAGTCTTTTGTAAGCCATGTGTCAGTATTAGGCCCCAAGGAGGATCAGGTGGCTACAGGTACGAAAACAAGTGCACAAGATGCAGTAGGTGACCTGCAGCGGCCTACTAACTCAGTTGAATGTGCAGCACAAACTTGTGATGACCTCCTTCCACGCAAGCAGTCACATGCAAGGGCAATCAACAGAATGAGGGCGCAGTTGTTTAGAAAAGCAGATTCTGTAAGGAGACTGCAGCGAGAAAACAGCCGCCTAAAAAAGAAGCTCAGTGGTTATGAGAACAACACCCTACACTCAGCAATCAGAAAATGCTTGGAGAAGGTTGGCACGGCCCAGTTCTGCCTAGAAGATTTCTTAGTGGAGCAGATCACCAATGCAACAAAGCAACGACCCGTGTGGTCCCCAGACTTTGTACGGGAATGTGTACTATTGTACTACTTGTCCCCGAAGGCGTACCGTTACATACGCAACCGAGGCCTGTTTAAACTGCCTTCGAAAAACACCCTCCTTCGGTATGTCGGAAAGTCGGACGGTGAAAGTGGGATCACCCCACTAATGAAGGAACGTTTAAAAGAAGAGGTGGGCAACCTGAAAGAGCAAGCCCGGCTTTGCTCAATTATTGTAGTTGAGATGGCCATAAGCTCCAAATACATCTACGACCGTAAAATGGATTGCTTTTTCGGGCAGCGAACTGTAAAAGAAAACAGTGCAGCAGCAGAGAACATCAGCAACATCATGCTTGCCAACAAGGTGCTATGTTTTGTTGCTACAGGATTGTCCACAGCATACAAGATACCTTGTGGCTTCTTCTTCACGAACCGTCTAAGTGGCAAGCTTTTGTACCAGCTTACAAAAGAGGTGATCTCTGAAGTCGAAAAGTGTGGTCTCTGTGTTATCCGGATTGTCACCGATAATCACAAAGTTAATGTTACAATGATGCGTCACCTGAAGAACGGCTCACTCAAGCCTGTGGTCACTCATCCATGTGACCCAGAAAGAAGCTTATTTGTGTCCTTCGACCAGTGCCATATTATAAAAAATGTGCGAAGCCTTTTGCTTGAGGGGGAGATGACAAACGGAAGCCAACCAATAACAGGACAGTTTGTTAAGCAGCTGTATGACCTACAAAAGAACGAGGTTGTCAAACCAGTTCGCTTCCTTACGCAGAAGAACGTAGAACCAACGAACTTCGAGAAGATGCACGTCGGCAGGGCGGTGCAGCTGTTTTCAGACGATGTCATCTCGGCACTTTCTTTTTTGAAGGAATACCCCAGTCGCCACCCCCAGGCAGATAAATTCAGAAACGCAGGGGCGACAATACTGTTTATGAAGATGATGCAAAAGTGGTTCGCCATTCACAATGTGGCCAACCGAACTGCGCATGTGCACATGAGACAGCCTGACCAGATGCACTTCTTCTGCTCGACTGATGAACGCCTACAGTGGCTGGAAAAGGACTTCCCAGACTATCTCAAGCCTCTCGACAATTCCTGCAAAAGGAGTGGGATGAAGTTTCTAAGTGCAGAGACTTACGAAGCTCTTTTGCTGACAAGCAAATCTACGGTTTTGTGTGTAAAATTCCTTCTCGAGAGTGGTTTCTTTTATGTTTTAACGAGGAACCTCTCAAGCGACCATGTGGAACTCCTCTTCAGTTCTCTACGGCAAATGGCCGGTGGCAATGACTGCCTGGATGCGAGAGCCGTGACGTTCAGCCTGGAGAGGATCTTCAGGACTGGCAATCTCTGCCCATCCCAGTCTTCAAACGTGAAGAACGGGCAGGCTGTCTTAAGGTAGGTATACGCGATCTGTGCTTTATGCTTTAAAACAAGTGCTCATGGTTGGTCAGGTTGCTTTTGCTTCATAACAGGACCCCTCTAATTTTTCATGGCCTCACACATCTGAGATAGCAGACGTTGTGTGTAGCAACTAGTCTTAAGAGTATAGAGGACTGCTGCTCACAAGCGGTTGCGTCTATTTTACATGTGTTTTGCAGCATACATCGGACTTCTATGAGCGTGACGTCCCCTGTAGTGGATGTTCCAGCTGAAGCAACAGCACAAGCAGCCACACATGTTTCGACTGAGACATTTCAAGTTGCCCTAGCCAGGTATGCTACATTTGCAAGTGTTATGTTGCTTTTTTCTCTGTCTTCCCTCTCCATGTGGAGAAAAATAAAGCATTTTGATTTGATTTGATTTGAAATGTTTTTCAAGACCTAATGCTTGCTTGCTTGACTGTTTTGGTTCTTTTGCAGCCGGCAGCCTTTTCTCTAATACATCTTTTGCACATCTTTTTTAGTTGCACTGCACCTCAAGATTTCGTGATGGAAATCGACGGGCTGTTTACGCCACTGAAAGCGCTTCCTCGTAAGTAGATGAGTAGAGGCTCATTGGAGTGTTATTAAATGCAAGATAAAACAAAAAAACACCATGTTCATCCGCTTTTTCTGAAAGCTATAAAGGCTGATTGTTAGCAATGCACAAAAAATTTAAGTTGATGAGGGCTGGGTAGAAACACAATTAGTGCAGCATTTGCATTGCACTCAAGATCTGTTTTTATGGGCTGTCTAAAGTTTGCTCTGTTTACTTTACTGCCAAACGCGATTTTTATGCTCTCACTGGATGCTCTTTATTCTGGTGTTTAGTTTCATATTTGGGTATTTTCTTTTTCAGTGCAGCGGCCACCGCCAAGCATAGTAAATGCTAGCATTGCTTACATAGCCGGGTTTGTGGCGAGAGCAGTCGAAGAGCGGAGGACATGTAGCTTCTGCCCTTCCCTTCATCAATCAGATTCATCCAGTCCTGTGCTAATGGGGCTAATTAGCCTGCAGTCAAGGGGTGGCCTAACTTTCCCAAAGCTTGAATTTGTCACGGTGCTTGTGACCATTAAGAAGGCTGTTGACATTGCCCTGCCGCACATAAAAAAAGAGCAATGTGCGTCAGCAGCTCGCTGGACTGATTTTGCCTCACCTTGAACGGTGCCCTCTTTTTGTATGCTCAGCAAGAGATGAGCATGGTGCGAGCACGCTGTCAGTGGTCTTCGGCAAGTTTATTAAGCCACTCTTGTCCAATGTTGGTGCGGCTGTGACAGATAGGGCTGTTTACCGGAAAAAGCTTGCATGTAAGCCACTGTGCCGGAAAGTGCTCCGTGTGTGAAATTGTGCAACGCATAAAAAACATGGTGCATACTATGTGCCTCATTTTCGGGGATGTTTCTGTAAATTAAGCGTCATGTGTAAACTTGTATGTAAGTCACTACTCTGCAATGTTCTCCGTGTACAGAAGTGCGCAATGCAGAAAAACATGCTGCAAACCATCCTTTTTCGTTGCTGTAAATAAAGTGTCCCGTATCCTGAAATGACGTTGTTTGTCCTCTTGCCCAGCAGTAGCTTCGGTGCATTAGCCTCCAATGTTTTTAGCAACCGCGGGAAAAATATTCTGCTGAGTTCAAGGACGCAGGTTCGAATCGCGGCCGCTTTTCTGCTGGAGGTGAAAGCGCCCGTGTGTTCCAGATTTCGGCGCTCGTTAAAAATCCCCAATCACATGGGTGGAGGGGGTGCAAAAGGGGCACTTCCCCTCCCCACCCAAACGACCCAGAGCTTTCACCTTACCCCATGTCCTCTCCCTCTTCCTTCGCGCAACAATAGATTTGCCACCTCAAGGTAAAATCCTGCCGGCGCCCAAGCCCAGGTGGTCACAATTACGCCGCCGTTGCGCCGGCGCGTAAAACGTTGCGCCGTTTCATTTCCGCGGAATCATGTGCTTGTTTGATTGTTTGATTTTTTCAAATCATGTACATATATGCCTGTTTTCCTGTTCCCTTTTGCATAACCAAGGTGAAGTCTAGCATGTGTTTAGTCTTTTCTTTCATCGTCCTGTGCTAAAGTTCGCTAGAAGTATGAGTTCATTGGTCACAATTAATCCGGAGCCATCTACTACGGCGCGCCTCATCGCATGTGTAGCGTCGACGCGTTAAACCTCATAATAAAAAAAATATTGACCCAGTTCCAGCCTGCAACTTCAACCTTAAGCATTGCAGGAAGTTTGTCCTATTCAACACTGGATTGGAACAACGGTTTGTAAGACACCTGTGCGCTGTGAAAGCCTACACTTCACTTACTTTTCCTCTTGAATGAATACACACAAAAAAATTGATATCGTTGGTACAAAAAAAAATCAAGGCGCACTGCGCTCTTTGTTTACATAAAAACTACTTTCACATACTAAAATAACAAATACAGATTTTACAGAAATAAAACAAGACGCCTTATCCTTTTTAACGCTGCGTGACCGCAAAAATAAATATTACTGCTGTGCAATAAATTCACTTATGCTTCACAACATGCCCAGTCCACGAAAAAATTTAAACGGCTAAGAATTAATGGCACCTGTAACTACTACGATCTACTACATTGATGAGCGGTAGTAATTTTCCATTAAACGTCTTACACAGGCTGAAACGGCCGAGTTTTCGTCCTCTACGCCCGCCCGCGACAGGGAAAGCGACCTTTAGATTTCCTGTATATGCTACCTACGGTAGCAGAGTTGCGCATTCAGCCTCGGCGCGTGGCCGTAGCGCCGGCTTTCCCGCACGAGCTGGATGCTTTGCTCCTCACGTGACTAAATTTGGCGAATAGCGGCGCCGCGCGCGCCGCCGCGCATAGAAAACAGGAGAGGAGGAAAAGGAGGCGGAAAGCAGGGAAACATACGCCGGGGTAAGAGAAACGTCGGCGGAGCGACCGTAAAGGTGGCTTTCTTGCACGCCAACGGATGCTTTGCTCCTCACGTGATGGATCTCGGCGAATAGCGGCGTGGCGGCGCGGGGAAAACAAATGCGCAACTCTGGCTCCCGTAGGGAGCCTATTAGCCCCGAGAGCGAACACAAGCGTCGCGGCGGTCGCCGCGCCCTGATTGGGTGAGGTGTACCGTGACGTCAGGAAGAGGACTCCGCTCCGCGATCTTGCAGCGGCTCGCTTACCAGCGCCGGTTTCCTGGTTTTGTGTTGTCTGCCGCAAGCTCTTCGAGGATCTGGACTTCCTTTACCCGGTGTACAAGACGTTGAGTTAGGCCGATATTGACGTGCTTCCGTACATTTAATAAGTTTGCTTGTCCCTTTTACTTTTAAAATTGGGTTACAAATCCCGAAAGCAATCGGTGGAGGCAATTCTGCCGATGAACCTCCCCGTCCGTCCACACGACACAAGGCAATCTTGCGAGGGATCGGTGAAGCGGTGGCGCAAGTTTTTCAGACGCCGCAATTCTGTTTCTTGCATGTTCATGATTTAGGACGATATTACATCCCGCTTTCAAGGCATTTAAAGTGGCATTTATATCATGGGCCTTTGGGTGGTCGGCAAATTAGCTCGCGACCCCGACTCTGCGCTGCCGCACTGCATGCGCGGGTTCGCAGATGTTTTAAAGGCCCTGGGACTGATTATCTTTGAAGTGCTCGTGGAACAGGGTTGTTTTACATAAATGTAGTTTCTTCATGAATTAATTATATAGTTTATACACGTATGCAGGTACATTTCTTAAAAGATGCACAATTACTCGAAATTAGTTTGCATGGTAGCAGAAAAAACGGCCGAATTGCCCGCAGTTGCCTGTATGATATGTATTAAACTGCCCAAAATAATGCACAGCAGTAGTGCCGTAATTTGGAATGTTTATACTGTTTCTCTGACATTCTTTATTCCAGTCTTGGGTGTTCGGAAAATACACCGTTTAGTTTGAATTGTCATTTCCAATTAAAAGAGACTGCTGCAGGTCCCCAAAAGCTTCCTCAGCCTCCAAACTCCCTACAGCTGGACTCTCTGACAACAGAGGAAAACAGGAGTAAAAACAAGCATTCGAACGTTTGTCCAGTGGTAGATACAGCATTAGTAGGATAAAATGTGGAAGCTGTGAAGGGCGGCAGTCTGCGTGAGAAAAGCTTCTGGTATTCTAGCTTCAGGACATTTCGATTTAAGTAAAATATCAATATTAGGGCTTAAGGGACTAATAACGAGCTAGACACCTTCGCTTACGTTTGTTATAAATCAGTTGAGGGTTGATATAAACAAGTCCACAGATACCAGCCATGTAGTCCATTGAAATACTATCCGAATCCAGCAAAGGTCAAATGCGAGCAATGTATAAAATAAATTTTCCTTGTTTTTTTACTTTGCCCCTGCACTTGGGCTGTCTTACTTCTGATTCTCTCCCCATGGCCCAGACTGTATTTAGCATGTTGCTCGAGCAGCATGCAGCTTTTCTGCTTCGGTGATCTTGTTTGAAAACAGAGATACAAAAAAAAAATAGTATACATAACTTGCCAATTCATTCAGACCATCAGCAGCATTTAGTGTGCGAGATGTAAATCTATAGTAATGCTCCTGCAATTGGGGCCATACTTTATTTTCATATACCAGCTGTGATTCATGCGTTGCCTGCCCTGTCAACCATGCTTAAAATGTTGCTTGAAGTTTCGCCTGTAACTACAGGACATACCTCAATAAAGGCACATATAAAAATTTACACTTCCTACGAGAAACAACACGCACAAAAAAATTAAATAGAAACGAGCGCGCCGACAGCTAGCGTCGTCACAGCCTATACAAGGCGAGCGGGGCGACTCGGGGAAAAATTCTCTCCTCGCCGTGACGTCACCCAACTTCGCCGTAAGGTGGCGCCACGCGAACTTCTCGGGGCTAATACAGGAACTCTAGCGACCTTAGGCTACGCGCGCCGCGGTGCGGCGAAAGACGCGGCCACGCCCGCTTTTCAACTTATGCTCTCTCCGGCCGATTGGGACGGCCGGAGCAGCGGCGCGCCGCCGGCAGCGGCGTTCGTTGCGCCATCTCTTGTCTCCCGTGCCAAACGGCGCCGTGTTGTTTGAAGACCGGTGGCGTCGCTGCGTTTCCATGGGAGCTAAGCCTTTTTCTTTCTTTACTTTTTCCTTAGGTAAGTTCACTCTTTGCAAAATTTACAAAAGAAAATGCACCCTCTGTGGGCAACGCTGCACAAAGTCGTAGCGCGATAGGTTAAGAAACCGAATTTTGCGGTCGATTTAAAGAGCCTGGCCTGTCCTTGAATCACCCTATAGATAGCTGGGGCCGTGAGTACAGGAAACAATTAGTACAGCGAGGTTCGTAAAGAATATACATGAAACACGCTCTTTTTCAATAATAAAAATGTTTATTTTACAGATTGGTACGTTCTTTTATTTCAATTCGCTTGTCTAGTGTAGACTGCTGCTGACGATAGCAGACCTTTAGCAGCCGTGAAGGAGTTGCGGGAACTCAGGTTCACGAAAAGTACGTTTACGTGAAATGTAATTTGAGCTGCCCTGTGGCAGTGCCTATATGACATCTACACTAAAGGTCCTTTGGCTAAAAATCCTTTTAGGTGTCCGTCTGACAGGGGTATAAGATCGAGTAAATTTTGTAACACCTCCAAAATCTCAGAGTCACTGATCGCGCCACCTATCCTCGTCATGATATAGACACTTTGCAGCAGCTGTGAATAGGCGCCACCACAGCCGATCTTTACTTTTAGAGCGCAGCTCTTAATCGCGAGACACATGCCCGTCAAAATGGCTCCAGGTATACCTAAGCACTTCTTATGAGTTGTGAATGCGAAAGCATGCACGCCGCTCTTCGACTCCCTTTTTTTTCTTTTTTTTTTTTTACTTGCGTCGACGGTGGAGTGCGCGCGCTGACCTTGGGCGTGGAGCCGCTGCTGCTGCTGATGATGATGATGGTCTTGCAGCTGTTCTCTTTGTATCGGGAGGTCCCGAACCGCGTTCGTACCTAGCCAAAAAATATTAAACGAAAAAAGCACTTATTTCTTTCACTTTCTCCTTGTCTTTCGCATTCACTTTGCTTTTGTCCATCGCCACCAGTCTTCCAGTCTGCTTTTCGTTCTTTCGATTACTTCCCACCTCCGTCCAAACGGCTTCGTGGACGCTGCGGCGCGTTTCAACCTCACTTCGAGGGATAGCAGCAGCATCTCTATCTAGAAACACGTTCAGCACAGACCCCGTCGTAGGTGATTGGAAGCCGAGTGCTTCCGCCAGCGATTGGGCTTGTGGAAGCGCCTGGCGAGGTGTCTGTACGTTTTCAGGAGCGTAATACCACTGCATCGGATGCCTTGGTTGCAGGCTTGTGCATGAGAGGACGATGTGTTCGATGGTTTCATCCGCTTCTCCACAAGCCCGGCATGTTGTTGTTTCCACCATCCGATTATATTTCTCTTGATACACTACCGTTCTCAGCCCTCCTGCACGTGCCTCATAAAGCAAGCGGCTGCCCAGGCTGTTATCGTATAACTGAGCCTCCGCTGATATTGTACTTTTGCTGAGGTTGTACACCCGTAGCGTTGGCTTGCTCTTGGCCGCCTTTGCCCACTGAAGGGCCTCCTCCTCACGCACTCTCTTCCGCACCTTCGTTTCCCACTTT